CAACAACATGTAATGCGCTTTTGATCAGCACAAGTAAATATGCACTATATAAATATCTAAATTGGTTAATTATTATCATTATTATTATTATTATTACTATTATGAGGTAACTTACTAGGAAACATGTAGTTTCCACAAAAGACATGAATTTTCTTCATCTGATTGATTTAAAATACTGTTTACCCCAAATACCTCGGGAAACCTATTGTATTTAAAGGGCACCTCTACAATCGCAGTTTTCCTGCAAAAAAAACAAACAAACAAACAAAACAATTCACGATGTCCTAAAATGTCGATTTAGTGGCAGGATCTTGGGGAAATGGTGCCGGCGGAGCAGTAGGAAATTGATAGTTATTGACAAACGGGTACATCGGCGTGAACGTGTTGTTACCCAGGGCCTTGCCAGAATCACCATCGTCATTTATCGACGTTCCTCCTCTAACAGATTCTGCGTAAGACGGTGGAGCTACAAGAGAGACAAAACGAAGAAAACCGTTACGTGAAATAAGCGACTCCCAAATTGCCAGCTCCTATCAGTAGTTAGTTATGGTCTAATTCCTGAGTGACCTCAATCTCGTTCCATCCTAAGACCCTCTCTCTTCATCGGAGGAGAGAGAGGACACTGGGAACAAGAATGGAGTGTCCTCTTGTCAACACGTTATGACGTCACGCTCAGGTGTCACGTGATCGGATGGTAGATAAAGAAAGCACGTAAGAAAAGCGCATGGCAGACTGTGTTTCGGGTTTTTTTTTTTAATTAATAGAAGGGACTCCACCCAAATGACTTCCCCTCCCTCACACGGCATTCTACATGGTTTCTAAGAGAGGTAACCAATTTTTACCACAGCTGATTATGTGATCAGTTCATCAGCCCATAATAATACATATCACCTACGCTGAGATATTTAAAATTCAAACTGCATACAGTCGAACATCGATTATCCGGACCTCGATTATCCGGACCATTTTTCTCTGGTCCCAATTTTTTCATTAATATTAATTAATAATTGAATACTTAATTAATAATTGAAAACTCAAAGTCGCAAAAGTCCAATAATCCTTTCAAAAGACTGTTCAAACAGCGTACTATCCTGTGCGCTTTTCAAAATTCACAAGTGAGACGAGAGAAAGAAATATTCCGATGCGTCATTTGTAATTACATACAGGCTGTGTAGATATCACAATTAAAATGATGTTTTCTTTACTGTATA